CACACCATGAAACAGCTGATCGGGAGGTGCTGATCGGTGGGGCTGCCGGTAGGCGGAAGGTGCTGGGGAGGGACGGAAGCGGACAGGGGGCTGCTGACGTATTGCTGTGGCTCTTTGGCAATGTATATTGGCAAATTCTGGCTCCTTCTCAGGCTCAGGTTAGACACCCCTGGTCTGTTTGCCATGTGTGAGTTTGGGAAAGAATTTCCCCCAGATTGGCAGGGACCTTGGGGGGTTTCAGGCAGGTCACTTGATAGGACGATCCAGGTAAATCTCTTTAATCGTTTCCCTGCCATTGCAGGAGCCTCAGCCATTGGTGGCACCTCAGTCCCTCCTAGTCTCTGCTTGTGGTACCCAGTAGTCTAGTCTGTAATAGCCTGGTCTAACTACAGTTGTTAGGTTTAGCATGCAGGTGCTGAGATATATAGGAGGCCTGTGCCGTACAGGATGTTGGACTAGATCATCTGATGGTCCCTTCGGGCCTTAAACTCTATGACACATCCACCAAGTGTAATTGATCATGGTCATCACCAACTGACTGGAACTGACATTAACAGCTTGAAACTCTTATTCCCTGCCATCCTTTGCCACCACCTGGCAGGAACTAGTGTCACCAACTGCCACCAGTCTCCACAAAAGAGTAATGGATTTGGGCCAACTGCCACCACTGACAGCAGTGGCCATGAACTTACTTCAGTTGCCATCAACTCCCTCCTCACAATGCCCTCTGCTACCAAACTGACTGATCTCTCACTGCCTGCCACGTTCTCCAGCTGCTACCACCTGCCACCAACTATCAGCAGCTGTCACCTTTCACCAGCAACCACCAATAGTCACATACAACTTTCACCTGGGGAAAAGTGCCATCAACCACAGACAGGACCAAATCAGCAAGTGTAAGTTAACCAATGCCTCTCCCAACCACTCATTGGCTGCTCCTAATGAAGCACTCCAATAATATACCCCCAAACTAGTTAATAATTGTCTTCCACTATGAAATTATTGACTAGCCCCCTCCTGGGTAAGTGAACGGTTCCCCAACTAATGCAGTTTTAATGAGCTCCCCCGTCCCCAGGTAATTATTTTGCTCTATAAACTTCTTGATAAAGATGCTAATGAAAACAAGCACAAATAGTCTAAAAGATGGAGTTCTAGACTGTGTGGGGTACAGGTAGCGATCCTCCTCTTCTCAACAATCCTCTCCCAGACAGGGGGAGAAAAAATCAAAACCCAGTGGAAAAAAAAGCTCCTGCCAGAGAAAGGAGAGGTCTAGAGGAACCCCTGGTTTCTTCAAGCAGATGAGAGACACTGGAGGATAGAGGCCGTGAGATCTCTGAACAGCTCTATCTGCTGCACTACACTGTGGAGCTAGACGGGGGTTTTAAACAGGGCCGCCATGCTTGGAAGACTAGGAGCAAGAATGCAGTTGTAACCACAGGCCCAACTTAGAGACATTTTCTAGAATATTCATTTTTGTTTTTCAGATATTTTAAGTAATTTTCTCTTGTGCCCAATACATTCAAAACAACTTTGTGTTTGGCTGCTTGTAATAAATAGGCCAAAATCCCTGGAACCTCAAATTAATTATCCGCTATTTTTGTGGCAACAAAAAGGCATCCATTAATACGAGCAAGTCCCTAACCTAATGGATACGTCTGAACCTGCTTCATTTGAAAGGGAGATGTTCTCTCTCTTTCCAAACCCTATTAGCATGAAATGTTCTGTATGTGAAGGGCTCACACATTCACTTAGGGGCTCATCTTCACTGCAACAGTTAGCTCAAATTAGTACCCTTGAGTTATTCCACTCAAGTTAGCCTGGTGAGCGAGAACAGTGTCCACATCACAAACCACTTGAGCTACAATGGTAGGATTAGCATCTGATAAATTGTAACTCCAGCTGCTGTGTCCCCCCCAGCTCAAGCATCAGCGATGCTCCAGCTTCAAATCTCCCCCATCACCCCCAGTCTAGCTAGCTCGATCTTAAAGCACCATTTAATTCAAGCTGGAGATTTGTGTGTGCGGACGAGAGTCAGGTTAAAGGCAAAACTCAAATTATACTTTGAGCTAGTGAAGACAAGACCTAATACTGGTTTAAGAGCATGACAGAACTTTCAGCAAAGGAAGATTCCCCAATTCCTTTAAAAAAAAAAAACATACCTTCACTCTTTCCTATTCTTACCTCCT